GAAATATTTAATTCAAACACGAGAAAACATGGATCAAAAGCTCCACAACTCCAAGTGCCGTGCAGGGAACTCAGCGGGGCTCTCTGGAGCCTGTCCTTGGTACATTCTTCCTCTTGGTCTTTCTTCTGCATCTCTGAACAAATATTCATTCATCTTTTTCTTTTTCTTTCTACTTTGGAAAATCCCATACATGTAAACAACATACTGTGATAGTGTTCTTCTCCAAACACTATTGTGTGTGTATGTATATGTACCATATATGTGTGTATTTGGGTATATGTGTGGTAAATATGTGTGTGTTTTGTGCATTATGTGTTTGTATGTATGTGCACATATGTGATGCATCCATGTGCATGTGTTTTTGCATGCATGCTGTATGTGTAGACCTGTTGGGCATGTGTGTATGTATTAAATATTGTGTGTTTGTATAAATATGTGGTGTGTGGGTTGTACACATATGTGTTTGTATACATATGTGTATGTGTGGTATATGTGTGTTTACATGTGTGTGTTTTGTGTATGTATGTGTTTGTATTTAAGTGTACAAGTGTGGTAAATGTGTGTGTGTTTTGTGAATGTGTATGTTTGTGTATATGTGTGTGGTATATGTGTGTGTGTACACGTGTATGTGTGGCACATACATGTGTATTTGTGTAAATATGTATATGGTATGTGAGTTTGAATACTTATGTGTATGTGTGTTTTGTGCATGTGTGTGTTTGTATATATGTATATGTGGTATATATGTGTGTGTTTGTGTATATGTGTGTATTGTGGTATATATGTGTATGTTTGTGTATATGTCTGTACCTGTGGTGTGGATATGGGATGTGTGTTTGTGTATATGTGTGGTATATATGTACATATGTTTGTGTATATGTGTGGTATATGTGTACTATGTCTGTTGTGTGTGGCATGGATGTGTATGTTTGTATGTACATGTGCTTTGTGTGTATGTGCGCTTTATGCATGGATGCACACATGCCTTGTATATCGATTGGCATTGGCTATGCTCCTCTACCATTCTTCATGTTGTTTTCTTCTGCCTCTCACTGAAAACCAGAATTTACAGCCTGGCTAGCCAGGGAGACCCTAGGCTCTGCTTGCCTCCTAGTCCCTCTCTTCTTTCCCCTCCCTGTGCTGGGCTACAGGTACACACCATCACCCCTTGGTTTTATGTGGGAGCTAGGAATCTGAGCTCAGATCCTCATGACTCTGAGGCAGCCCCTTTACTGACTAAACCATAACTCCAGCCCAGGACTTTCTTCTTCGTGCTTCCTAACCCCTGGGAAGCACTGTTTCTGATTGCTCCATAGTACTCGATGCTCATGGAGCACTCAGCAGCTCTTCCTCCCATTCTAGGGTCTCTCAATCCACACTTGAGCATGAAGTCATCCTCAGACACCTGCTCGTGTGGCACCTGGTCTGGGAGCAGGAGCTCCGGTACCACTTCTCAGAGAACACTCTGTCACATGACTTCTACACCCACTAAACACAAAGCCTTCAATAACCTTTTCTAGCTTTCCTCACACCGGACTTTCCTTTGGCTTCTGTTCCTCTGTCCTACCTACTCATACTTGATTGTTCTATCCCAGGGAAGGAAACAACCCATCCCAGGTCAGTAAAAACTTTAGCATATTCAAATAGATTTTTGAGGCAACCAGCTACATTTGTCTCATGTTCTTAGCATGAACTAGATTCATAGGCTGAGCCGCTTCCCAAACTGCAGCCCTGAGGAGATCCTGAGGGAGCAAGTAGGACTGCCTGGCCTTGTTTCACATCAGATGTGAGTCCAGGACATTCTAAAATTAGCTGGATTCCCTGCCGGGCTGAGATTCTGCTAGAGCAACTCCAGCTGAGAGCCAGCCACTGGAGCAGTACCTGAAGCCTCTACGCTGAGTGGTAGAAACAGGTGATGGAAAATTGGCCCTGAAAGAAGAGCCGGATCAAGTTCAGAAACTGGAACCAGAATGCTGGGTCCAGGAAGCAGGTCCACTAATCCAGGCTGACGTGGGCAGGGTCAAGGAGAGAGCTTTAGAACCGAGCCAGGCCTGCCTACTGGGGAGGAGGTAGGCAGGGAGGCAGTGTTGAGGTACTTGCTGGGGACCCATTGTGTTAGGTCCAGTTTGCCATCACTGATCTCCTTTGTCTCCTTTATTGTTAACCAATTGGAAGTCGGAGGTGTGCAGCCACTCTGCCAGGGTCACACAGGCAGTGAACGGTAAAGCAGGGATGACCCTCAGTAGAATACATGCTCTGTGCAAGTACACACGATCTTGCAGCAGAACGGTTACAAGGGTCAACATTGTGCAGAGCAGGTCCTCTGACCGTGTGGGGTTACACTAGAAATCAATGAGATCTTAGGAAAAAAAAAATCATAACTTAAATAATCTGTCTTTAAATAATTCATTGTAATGAGAAGAAACAAGTAGACTCAGAATCATTTTGAATTGAAAGAGCAAAATATAACATTTTGAAAAAGCATGGGTTAGGGGCCATCTTTAGCTACAAAATGCAATATATTGAAAGACTGTGAAACCAAAGACTTAAGAACCTTGAAAAGGAAGGAAGTCAGCCAATATGAATCTAAAATAAGCAGATGGAAGAAAATATATTTTACAAAATTACTAAAGGCAAAAGCTAGGTTTTGTTTGTTTATTTGAGATTATGTCTTGCAGTATAGCTCAAGCTCTCTGCATTTCCAGAATTCAAGAATTTTCCAGCCTCAGTTTCTTTACTGCTGAGATTATAACCAGCCTAAAAGTTAGAACTTTAAAATAGTAATAAAATAGGTATATCCTTGGATGATCAGTCAAAAAGAGAAGAAAAGTAAAAAGTATCAATATTAGAATTGAGAGCTTTTATATTTAAACACTAGTTTGGTTAATCTCATAGATTAGGGGTGGAAAATCAAATAGTGATTTTACAGATTCCGTGAAGGTCAGTGCCCATTTGTAATAAAAAATTTGTAGCAAGCCTGAAGTAGAAGGCAGCTGCCCTAATTTGGCAAATTACTTACAAAAGACCTTCAGCCCACATCATGCTTGTGAAATATCGAGTGCTCTTTCCTTAAAATTGGGAGCAAAGCAAGAACAATCACCATGTTTATTCAACAGTGGGTAGGAGGACTAGGCCATCAAATAAGAAGAACAAATCGATAGAAGACTTGCAGTTCAGAAAGGCACAAATAAACGTCAGAAAATGTGATTGCATAGTCAGACATTCTTCACACAAATTTATCAAAGTTGCAGGGATTGAGATTAGTATCCTGAAGTATACTTTATATTTTTATGCATTATCAGGAAATAAATGGAAAGTTAAATTTAAAAATGATTTCCCTCATAAATATCAAAGGGAAATGTTTGAGAACACATTTAGAAACCTCAGATGGCCAAAACAAAGACAGGATTGCTCACTGAGCCAACTGAGGGCAAGTCTCGTGCTCACTGTAAGGTCAGCTCACCTTTCCTCTGTGTTAGGAAATTTTAATAGAATGTTGACAGCAAAGGCCACTGGTAGGTTGTCTACCCTCATGAGGGTGTCCTGGTACCTGGGGAAGGTACGTGAGGGTCTAGCTGAGATCAAAGAAGATGAGGTCTGAAGAGAGGCTCCTGGGTGTGGAAACTGACCCCCTTTAGTCCACTGTGACTTTCATAGGGAACCTGAAAGCTGAGGCAACCCTAAGGACCAAGGTCTCCTGCACCCCACAAAACCAGCTTCCATCCTTTCTACCGGCCTTACTAACAAGATGGTGACTTTAAACATTCTCAGCGAGTCTATTCTGGAGACAGGGGAAGGACCAGGCTGGCACTGTGCATCCTCTGTTAGACACTTGTTGTGTGCCCCTCTCTAGACTAGACTTTGAGGCTACTATGATGAAGGGAATAAAATGGCTCCTGCCCTTGCGGATCTTATTATTGTTAAAACTCCACACCTTTTCTCTTTGGATCATTATCTGCACTCTGACCAGAAGCCTTCTGAGTCCCTTCCTACAGTCCTTGCTGACTTTTTTTTTTTTTTTAATTTCTCGGAGTTCAAACTCCCTCTTCTACTGTTAGTTTCGAATACAGTATTTGATTAGATAGGAATATTTTCTTGTTTTATTTATTTTTATTTTTCTGCACTGAAGCTTGGCACAGAGAGATCGCAGACGCTCAAAATAGCTCAGCAAGAAATCGAATACATGTCCAGTGACCTAGATTCTCCTTAAATTCCCATGACAGAGAAGGATGGGCACAGGGCAGTCAGCTGCTCAACTCAACCCTCTGTTCCACTTCCAAGAGGGGGACGCAGCCATCACCAGTCAGCACCCCAGCTAGAACTAGGGGTTGGCATCGAAAGGTGGTTCCTGGACCACTGAGTAACTGACCCAACATGACCCGACTCCCATGGCAGAAACGTGATCGCTGCACCCTCTGTTTAACATGCAAAAATGAAAAGTCCTCGTGTAAATGTCCTTTCCCAGTCTTTCTGGTAGAAAAAAATGCGGACATGTTTAGGATTGATTTCTCAGTATGACAAATGACCCCACACTCAGTGGGGTGAGACAATGAAACCTAGCTGCCTTCACCAGACAGGCCTCTTTACTTAAATGAATACATGCCCCGCCCCCCCCCCCCCCCCCCCCCCCCCCCGTACCGAATTGCCTGTGATGGCTAACTTCCTGTTTTCTTTCCCTAGAGTGCTGGATTTTTAGAGTTGGATTCTTGGGAGATAATGACCGGGATCAAGAAAGTAAGTGCCTGGCTTTCCTCCCCTCGTGCCAGCCAGCCAAGGCCACTGATTGGTGCTCCAGGACCTTGAGAGGCTCCAAAACAACAGAGCTGTGGGATTCCAGCGCTCCACCTTGTGAGCGCTGAGCATGCCTGGGCAATGACTGTGGCTCTGGATGGAGTCATCACGGATGAGGCAGAGCTGGCTCAGTCAGGGAGCACTCGCTGCTCTTTTTAAACTCCACAGCACCAAGGATGAAGTCACCTTTCTCCTTTTAAAACTAGCTGACTTATTTGTGAGTCCCTGTCACTGTTAGAACTTAGTGTTTTGTTTTGTTTTTGTTTTTGTTTTTTGTCCCCCACGGCTGGGCACCAGAACCTTCTCTCAGGTAAGCACATTTTCATTTAGTAAGTTCCCACCGTAGGACATTGGGTTCAGGGGACTTTGGAGGGCAGCCCTGGAGATAGTGGAGTGAGGTCAGCAGATGATGGCTTGGATGGGGGAGGGGTCCTTTGTCTTCACCTGAAGGGTAGCAGACTCTAGTGGGGTGATTCAGGTCTGAGCCTCAGGGGTGGACAGGGAGCTGTGAGCTTGGTTTTGTGCCTCGTTCCCTAGTTGTGCTTTCATTGATGAGGTAGCTAGGAGTGACCTGTGTTGGGCTGGCATCCTCCATAGTTCCTTTGCCCTTTTGGCCTCTGGTTTTGTGTTTGCGTCAACCCTTGCAGAGTTGGGGTACAGAAGGACAGCAGCTGTGTGGCAAGCCTCCGTCTGCTCTTTAGTTGGCTTGGATGCTTTCCTTCTTTCTTAGGCATGTAGCAGGAGACAAAGGGGCCCAGGATCCCTGCCCTGACATGCAGGTACCTCACATAAACAACGGCTGTGCCGATGCCTTTGTGGCAGAAGTCAGCAAGCACGTCCTAGTGCGTGTCTGTGCAAGTTCGTCTAAGGAAATGGGCATGTGCCGTGTGTGTGTGTGTGTGTGTGTGTGTGTGTGTGTGTGTGCGCGCGCGCGTGCGCAGACCCTGTAATTCCAAACATCAGGGGACTGTCCCTGTCCCACTGTCCCTGAGTTGCATTGTGACTGATTGGCTCATAGAGATCCTATGACCTTTGGAAGTTTTGATAAAGGCGCTTTGATTATCATGGAGATAACGAATGGGATCTGAAAAAACAACAACAACAAAGCAAAACAACAACAACAACAACAAAAAAAACAAAAGCTGAGCCACTGTCAAGGTAGTACTGACAGTGCAGGCCTTTACCTCCCTCTCACAAGTACTCCGTACAATCTTGAAGGACACCAAGACCAGTTTTTAAAAATTATTATTTTATTTTTTTCAAACAAGACTTTGCTCTGTAGCCCTGTCTGCCCTGGTGGCTACTATGCATCCCAGACTGACCTCAAACTCACAGAGAGCCTCTGCCTCCCAGTGCTGGCATTACTTTTTATTTTGAGAAAGAGTATCTTTAAGTTGCTCAAATGGGATTCAAAGTTACTGTAGCCCAGATAGGATCCTACTGTGTCAACTTCCCAAGCAGCTAGGGTTGCAGGACTGTGCCACTAGGTCTATCCTAGTTGGTGTACTTCTTGGCCATGTGGCCTTCTTTTGACTCATTTTCCGGATTTCAGGATCGGAATAAGGCCTAGCTCACTGGGATACCCGAAGTGAGAACATTTGTAGAAGACCCAACACAAGGAAGTTAAGAACTCTTGTTTTCTTTTCCTTTTCTCTGTAAGTTTGTAATCTCTCACTGAAACATAGCTTGTAAGTGTGTGTGTGCGTGTGTATGTGTATAATTAACCTGCATGTTCGAGGAACACTTTTTCAAGGCCTGATAAAGAGCACAGAACACTGAGACAGCAAGCAACCAGAAACTGCACCGGATTCAGTAGCCACTGGGCACCTAGGAGGGGACTTGAGTGAGCTGGTGTCTGTGTGCCTGAAGACAGAGGGAAAGGTTCATATCTAGCACTTTTCTGTTCAGAGTCCTTAGAAATATAGAGAGCATATAGGATTCTCCGATACTGAAGTTACAGCCTCCAGAAGGCCTCCTGCTTTCAGAGGGCTGAAGGACATCCATGTTAGTGCTTTAGCCACAAGCTCACTCATTCATCCGTTGATCAAACATCTGGATGTCTGCTCTGAGTGGGTTCTTTGCTCCTTTTTCCATGGAAGACTGATGGAAATTTTTCTCGTTTGAACCTAAGCTAGCCTTGGGTTGCTGCTTGGCCATCACTAAAGAAGAAAGTGATATACAGGGACAGCCAGAGCTAAGGTTTGCAGCTTCTGTCTGTATTTGTTCACCCCTCACTCAGGGGGAAGCCAGCCACCATGGAAAGTCACAGGCTGCTAAATGGACTCCGGGGAAATGAACAACTGACTTAAATTTTGAGTTAGCCAGTTTTCATGGTGCCAACACTCCCTGGGTGGCCATTTCAAGCTAATGAAGTGTCATCTCTAGCGCTGGTGATAGATCAGCTCCTATGAGCTGGTCCACGAGGGCCACTGTTTTCGGACCACCATGGGGTGTGAAAGCACACATTTACCACAAGTATGGAGAGACTTTGTTTAAGAAGCTGAGGCCACCCTGGGACTATTCAGTCATCTAGCTAGGTAGGAACAGGAGCCTTCCCATTGTCAGAGGGCAGCTATGTGGGGAATTCACACAATGGGACTGAGAACTGCCCTGCTCAGCCCAGTTTCCCACACAACCGTGGGAGATACTAATTTGTATTATCCAAACTTGGGGGTGGATTTACGAAGCATTAGGTAACTTGAGTGGAGTAAAGCCTCCTTTACTCAGACACGAGCCTGGGTAGAGCCCCTGAGCTGGTTAAAGGACAGACGACTCTATCCCATGATATTTTGGTTAAAAAACCCAAGGTCATTATTTGTGTTCATTTTTGTAGGGAAACTTCACTGAGTCAACAAGTCAATTCTTGTTTGACAAAAGAAGTTCGAGAAACTTCATAAACTTCCTAAAACTTGCTAACGAGTCTTGTCCTTGTCACAAAATCACCCGGAAAACCCCCTGTCGCATGTACACTCACCTCACAGGGTCTGCTTCCGCTCCTACCTCCCCAAGCCTATTTGCAGCGACTACAGAAGCTCTGCGTTGCCTGTCCTGTTGGCCCTATCTCATCTTCATATACAGTTTTTAGGGTAATTAGGTACAACGAAGAAAACCTGAAGTTAGGGGACATCCCAGCAGAAAATAACGGGCACCCCTAGAAAACATAAGAAAAGAGAAGGACTGAAAACAAGTCTGGTTGGGATGCTGTTAATAGGAGAGCTGACACCACTCCAAAGTCATAGTATCTCTGGCAAACCCAGGGCTTTACTGAATCATAGCAAAGGTGCCCAAGATGAGGCTTCAATTACTATTACAGCCTACCGAATACTTGCCTTGTGAATATCTATCTGCAAGCCGAGATTTTTCCTCTTACCATCTGGTTCTTTAGGCTCATTGCTGGTCTAGTCTTTTAAGAGCTCTAGACCACGCATGCTGCAGACATTCTGACCGTTAAAGAATGTCTGCTCATATATATATATATATATATATATTACATATTTTGTTATGAAATATTTATAGATATATGAGTCTGTGGTCCACTTCACCAACCCTCACTCAAATTTAACATTCTGCATAATTGCAGTGCTGTATCAGAACTAGGTCACTGATGCTGGTACCAGCCACAGTCATTTAGATTTCTCCAGCTGCTTGCACTCCAGTGTGTGTGTGTGTGTGTGTGTGTGTGTGTGTGTGTGTGCAATTCTATGACATTTTATCTCATGAGCTTCATGTAACTCCCACCTCAATAAGGTACAAAGCTATGACATAACTGCAGACATGTTCCTACCACCTTCTCCTGTTTCTAATCTCTTGAAGCTCATCATACTTTTTGGTAAGTGTGCTACGAAGGAATGTATGTGTGTTGGGTTTGCCCGCTTGAAATGTAACCTTGAGGACCACCAGATTTTTGAACACATCACTGTTAATTCGCTCTCGTTAGGGAGTGCCACTGTACAGCATGGATGCACCACAGTTGGCAGTTATCGGCCATCCTGCCCCTTGGAGTACATTCAAGTTGTTTCTGTCTTCTGTTCATTACAAGTGCATGAATTGCTTTCCTCATTGGTGTGACCAAATGTGGAACACGGGGCAATTTGGATTACTGTTGAAGGGTGCAGTCCATCTCTGCAGGGGAGGAGTGGGACAGGCTGCAAGCAGCTGCGGACATTGCTGCCGTCAGGGCAGAGAAGTGACAGGTAGTGGCTGGGGCTATCAAAGGCCAAAGCTTTCCCATGGTGACCCACTTCCTCCAGTGAGAAACCTCCCTCCTAACGGTCCCACAACCTGCTAAAATAGCTCCATCAGCTGGGAACCACACGTTCAAATGCATGAGCCTGTGGGGGACGCTTCACACACAAATCAAAAGCTGCCATTGGCATTACATACAAGTTTCTGCATGAAGGGAAATGTACCCTTCTTTGTGAGAAATGCCGAGGATGGTGTATCAGACTCCTATGGGAAGTTGATTTTAAGTTTAAAGGAAGCTGCCGGACTAGTTTTCAAGAGAAGGGGGGCACAATATATATTGCCACTAGCCATGTATAATTAAATTTATCTATATCTTTGACAGCATTTAGCATATCATTGTTTCTTATTTTACTCATTATGATAAGCAGGTCATGATCGACTACTGTGATTTTTAATCTCTGCTTGCCTAATGGATTTTAATGTGGTTATTTGCTGTCAGTATGTACTTTTAATGACAGGTGTACTTGTATAGTTTGCCTATTTAACAACTGACAAAAATTTTACTGAATATATATATATATATATAATATATATTATATATATAATATATATACTGAATTATTATATATATAATATATATATTATATATATACTGAATATATATATTCAGTAAAATTTTTGTTATATTATATATATATATATATATATAGTCTAGATAAAGCCCTTTATCATATGTTTGAAAACATTTCCCCAATTCTGTAATCTTTTGTAGAATAAGTATTTAATTTTCATAAAGTTGAATTTATTAATGTTTTCATTTTTATCATGTACCTCTCAAACATGTCACATCCTAGCCTCCTAAATTTTCCTTTCATGCATTGTGCTCTTATTGTAAATTTTATTTTTTACTAAACCAAAATTCTTGAAGATTCTACCATTATTTTTTTCTAAAAGATTTGTAGCTTTATATATTGCATTTACATCTTTGATTTACTTTGCACTGATTTTTATAAAGTGTCAAGTTAAATCAAAATTAATGTGGAGGGAGGGTGTAAATTTGTCAAAATGCCCTAGCGCCATTTTTGAAACAGGCTTCATCGAGTCAGTTTTGCACTTTGTCAAAAA